TCCCCTTTGCAGTACGGCCGCCTGATCGACCTGTGCCAGCCCACGCAGAAGAAGTACCAGATCGCGGTGACGAAGGTTCTGGGGAAGAACATGGACGCCATCATCGTGGACTCGGAGAAGACGGGCCGGGACTGCATCCAGTACATCAAAGAGCAGCGGGGCGAGCCCGAGACCTTCCTGCCGCTGGATTATCTGGAGGTGCGGCCCTAAAAATGAGATCTGGGGTTTGGGAAACCCTAAATGGGGTTTGGGAGCAGCGGGGCGAGCCCGAGACTTTCCTGCCGCTGGACTACCTGGAGGTGAGACCCTAAAAATGAGATTTGGGGTTTGGGAAACCTAAAACCTTCCTGCCGCTGGACTACCTGGAGATGCGACCCTAAAAACGGGGATTGGGGTTTGGGAAACCCAAAATGGGGTTTGGGAAACCCAGAAACTTCCTGCTGCTGGATTATCTGGAGGTGTGACCCTAAAAATGGGGATTGGGGTTTGGGAAACCCAAAATGGGGTTTGGGAGCAGCAGGGCGAGCCCGAGACATTCCTGCCACTGGATTATCTGGAGGTGTGACCCTAAAAACGGGGATTGGGGTTTGGGAAACCCAAAATGGGGTTTGGGAGCAGCAGGGCGAGCCTGAGACCTTCCTGCTGTTGGATTATCTGGAGGTGCGGCCCTAAAAATGAGATTTGGGGTTTGGGAAACCTAAAACCTTCCTGCCGCTGGATTATCTGGAGGTGCGACCCTAAAAACGGGGTTTGGGGAACCCAAAATGGGGTTTAGGAAACCCAGAAACTTCCTGCTGCTGGATTACCTGGAGGTGTGACCCTAAAAAGAGGGTTTGGGGAACCCAAAATGGGGTTTGGGAAACCCAAAATGGGGTTTGGGATTAGTGGGTCGAGCCCAAGACCTTCCTACCACTGGATTATCTTGAGGTGCGATCCTAAAAATGGGGATTGGGGAACCCAAAATGGGGTTTGGGGAGCCCGAGACATTCCTGCCGCTGGATTTACCTGGAGGTGTGACCCTAAGAATGGGATTTGGGGTCAGCTGGGACCCCAAAATGGGGTTTGGGAAACCCAAAATGGGGTTTGGGAGCAGCAGGGCGAGCCCGAGACGTTCCTGCCGCTGGACTACCTTGAGGTATGGCCCTAAAAAGAGGATTTAGGGTCAGCTGGGACCCCAGAATGGGGTTTGGGGTCAGCAGGGGACTGAGACCTTCCTGCTGCTGGGACACCTGGAGGTGTGGCCCTAAAACAGGATTTGGGGTCAGCTGGGTTTCTGAACCTCCCCGTTTTTGGGATTTCAGGTCAAACCCACACACCTGGCTCCATTTTTGAGGTTTTGACCCCATTTTTGGTTATAAAACCCCAAATTTTTGGGGGTTCCAGGTGAAACCCACAGATGAGAAGCTGCGGGAGCTGCGTGGGTGGTTCTGACCCCATTTTTGGGGTCTAAACCCCCGAATTTTTGGGATTTCAGGTCAAACTGACCGACGAGAAGCTGTGGGGGTGTTTGGAGCCCATTTTTGGGTTCTAAACCCCCAGATTTTTGGGATTTCAGATCAAACACACAAGCCTGGCTTCATTTTTGAGGTTCTGACCCCATTTTTTGGGTTCTAAACCCCAAATTTTTGGGATTTCAGGTCAAACAGACGGACAAGAAGCTGCAGGAGCTGCGTGGGTGGTTCTGACCCCATTTCTGGGTTATAAAACCCCACATTTTTAGGATTGCAACCCAAATTTCAGGACTGTGACCCCATTTTTGTGTTCTAAACCCCAAATTTTTGGGATTTCAGGTCAAACCGACCGACAAGAAGCTGCGGGAGCTGCATGGGTTGTTCTGACCCCATTTTTGTGTTATAAAACCCCCGATTTTTGGGATTGTGACCCCGATTCAGGACTGTGACCCCATTTTTGAGGTTCTGACCCCATTTTTGGGTTCTAAAACCCCGAATTTTTGGGATTTCAGGTCAAACCCACTGAGAAGAAGCTGCGGGGGCCATGCTGGGATTTGTGGGGATGTTTTAACCCAATTTTTTGGTGTTCGGACCCCATTTTTGGGTTCTAGACCCCCGAATTTTTGGGATTTGAGGTCAAACCGACGGACGAGAAGCTGCAGGAGCTGCATGGGTTGTTCTGACCCCATTTTTGGGTTGTAAATCCCCGAATTTTTGGGATTGTGACCCCGATTCAGGACTGTGACCCCATTTTTGAGGTTCTTACCCCATTTTT